CCCCATAGCTGCAGGTCAGGAGCTTTATGGACCATTTGTGGTCATTAACATGTCTGCACAGGTCACATACATCCTTTGTGCTCCTCTTAATCTAAGAATAGGAACCCAAGGTTTGTGTCAGGAGACACCATGGAGGACGAGCAGTTTAAGTGGAGCTGAAGAGACTCTTGATTTACAGAGGCTTAAAAAGGCCAAAAGATGGTGGTAAAATCCTCCTTGGTAAAAGAGACCAGGTTTGAAGTCTGTGCATCTCCTGCAGTTTGCAGCTCTTTTCATTTATTTATTTAACTTCTTTGCTTGCCAGATGTTGTCTGTGTCTGGTGCAGGGTGGTTCAGCATCTCCTGGAATAACACACTGCAGAGGATGATCCCCACAAATGCTACAGCTCTCCAGGTAAGTGTCATCAGACACTGACAGGGCTGCCTTGCCTCTGGTCCCTAGCTGAGGAAAACTCTAGTGATGATGTGTGTGTTGAAGCTCTCTGCTGATAGGATCCAGACACTGTTGTATTGGGACTTTTTTTCACTTTCTTAATTCTTTTTTTCAAGGTGCAAACAGCAATAGAGGAACTTCTTTCAATAGAATGTGAAACTGAGCCAACTTCTGCTAAGATCCTTTTCCATGATGGCTTTGAGAAAGCAGGTAGTGATCTTCTGTAATTAATAAGCAATATTTACTGTGAGACTTGATTACCTTTTCTGAAATAAAGGTACTTTAAACTTTTAATGATAGTAAAATTTACACTTTTAATATGTTTAAGTACATTTATTTGTTTCTCAGCTATTCATTGTTTGTAGGTATGCTGATGGGGGAGTTTGTGGAATTAATATTAAAACAAACATGATTAATACAATAATGTGAGTTTTTTTTTTCTGTAATACCTTGTATGACTTGGTTTCAATGTGTCTGCTGGGGAAGCAAATCTGCTGTAGCCCACAGCTATAGCTCAGGCTGTGGAAAAGGCTGATTCTGACTCTGGAGATCTTCACTTTCAGTGTTTCTTGATGACTAAGGTTGAATCAGTGCAAATATCTGTGATACACTCGAGTGGTCAGGCAAGGTGTAACACATCAATTGTTTTTCTAAAAAAAAAGCAGAGTTATCAATAATAGTTTTCTAACATAAAAGGTATTGCACACATCAGAAAGGAACTCCAGTAACACTGGCCCAGGTTGCCCAGAGAGGTGGTAGAAGCCACATCCCTGGAACAATTCCAGATGAGGTTGGATGGGGCTCTGAGCAACCTGCTCTAGATGTCCCTGCTCCCTGCAGGGGCTTGGACTGGAAGACCTTGAAAGGTCCTTTCCAATCTAAAGCATTCTGTGATTCTATATCTGACAGGAATAACAGCATACTTATCTTATGCCAAAAAGGAGATGATTGCCTGGAGACCTCATATTGCATTCTTGTATTTCAGTATGGAGAGAAAGGAACAGGTCCTACCAAGTAATATATATATATATTTGATGATTGATTCCTTCAAATGGGGGAAAAAATTAACCTTAGTTGGGCAGGGAGGGAAGCTTTATGGGAAAAAAAGTAAAAATAACTGAATGTTCTTAATATGATCCCAAGTCTGTGATTCTGCCAACAAAAGAAAAAAGACTTGAGTTAAAAGCCAATGATAGTTTAATAGTACAGTGAGAATAAGTCTTGGTGCCTAAAACGTAGAACAAAGGAGAACTTGAATTTTTGTTGATGATTGTAAAGTGTAGATAGTGTGAAAAGGCAGCAGAGCAATGATGAAATTGTGATGAAATAACAGCCACACATTCAGACCTGGGGTCCATCTAGCACAGTGTCCTCTCTTCAGCAGACACCAAAATAGATGCCTTGGGAAGAGTAAAAACTGGATGATGATGTGTAATAATTCATCATTAACTCCCCCTAAATATGAAGTATTTTCAGCTCAATTAATTTCCTAAGTGTAATATGGTTTTTTTTTTTAGTTGAATTACCTCAAAATGAATCTCCCTTCCCTATATTTACCCAATCTCCCCTTGAACACAGCTAAACTATGACATCCAGCATTTCTTCCAGGGAAGATTTCAACAGGTCCAACACCCATTGGGCAGAAAACCACAGCAACCTCCTTCCAAATCTGTGTTTTAAACTCTGCTGTTAACTTCATTTCGCAGGCTTTATTTCTCTCACTGGAAGAAAAGGTGAATTGTCACTACATAGTCATGGAAAACTTTTATCTACTAGGAAGACAAGAAATCCTGTTAGTTTTTCAGCAGCCAGGTTGATAGACCAATGAACAAACATCCCAAAGGGGAGGGTGGACTCACCATTGCTTTATAGATTATCTACCAGCTTTGCCTGAGTGTTTTCTGGAAAGGAAGGATGGATTTGGTCACACATACTCTACGTGGCTGAAGACAGTCATGAAGTTTTATGATCAGAACAGTAATCTAATGGTCCTTCCTCTTGTCTTTCAGCATCCTTAACCTGGGAAACAATTGTCCTGTGGATGTTCACTCTCTATCTGGGCAGGAGCACACTTAAGACTTAATTTTGGATATCTACTACTTACATTTTGATGGATCTCTTGGATGTACTGGTGGCTTCTGAATCATTTTCAAGCCTCTCATGCCTTCTTGCTTTCCTCTCTCTGTCAGATAAGAAGGATGTCATTACCACAGGACACATTGTCAGTGGAACGGAGGCTTTCTGTGGGAGGTTCAGTCTTCACAGACCAAGCCAGCTGGTGAAAACATCCCCACCAACTCTACCAAGATATGATCTTACTAAAACCACCCATGTAAGTGGCTGCTCTTGAGCAGGTTGCACTGGGGACTCAATACTCAGAGTCCAATCAGCAACATAACATCATCTGGTATGCTTGGACTTCCTCCAAATCCACAAAGGATCGTGTCTTTGAACAATGCTTGTGGACAAAGCAGAGTGTGTTGTATTGACTGGGTGGATAGTTTGAGATCTTTGAGACATAGATATAGTCTAGCATATATGCCTGCTGTCTGCTCCTGGGGATGCCACCCTTGCTGAGGGAAAGGAAAAGGTGGGATGGTGTTGGGAAAAGGGGAAGATGCAGGGATGAGCACTTTTTGACCAAAGAAAAAAATTCTTATCTATGGGTCTTGCTCACTTTTCTGCTGATCTTCTACACCTACTTTTAATAAGAATCAGGTCTTGATTTCAACTCTGTCCCCCTTTCTTTGCCACCTTGGGGAAGACAAAGAGTTTGGGTTTGAAAGGAAGGAGGCAGGAGGGGATGGCTCCTCCCCAAAGCCTCCTGTAGCCCTTCCAGTTTCCCTTCACAGACCTCTTGCAGTCCTATTTCCCTGCCTGACACCCACTCCAAACCTTGTACCTTCCAAATCTCACAAACTCCTCCTCCAGTCTTCTTTCCTTCTCCAAGCCTCCCTTCCAGATACTTGAAATCCCTGTTGGTGTTTCCCACCCATGTTTGTCCCAAAACCTGAGACCTAAGGAGATAGTTTCAGGCTATGTAATGTCACTACAGGTCATGATATGCATCATCTCTTCCAGGTATTATCCAAAGCAATTTGACCTTAAGGGGTGGGCTTTATTGCTGACCTCGAGCAAAAGATTCCCCCACCAGTGTTGAGCAGAACATATTTTCTACAGACTTTACTCCATAATTTACCTATTTTTGATTTGTGAACTTTTTTTCCCCCCTTTTTGCAGGTGTGTTTTGCACATAAAGGCCACATGAGCAACATCCTTCACATCTCAGTGTCCTACACCAACATCTCTTTATGTGCAGTGACGAGGAACCTCACCTGCCTGTGGGACTTCAATGAAACTGTCTCTAAAAGGTATCCAGGCACTTTCCAGAGATGACATTTTCCATAGTAAGAAGGTGTACTAGGAAACCTGTCCTTGCAACATGCTTCTAGCCTTTTTGGGGGTGTACTGAGTAAACCTGCATGTTTCTTCTTATATGCACTATCTCACCATAGTAATGCATAGATGGAGGGTTTGTCCTCTCACTAGTAAACACATCAAAAAGTTTCTGAGGACATTAATGTTTTTTTGGTTAACAGTCAGTGGGTTTTCTGCAGGGAGGCAGAGGTAATTCCTTTTTTCTCCAGGAAACTTATGAGATCATCAGTACACAAGTTCTGAACGCTGGTGTAGTCTTTGATTTGTTTTGCTTAGAATACATGTGTGGAAAGCATTTGATATTAGAAGTAAAGTTAAGGGCAGGTAGACTTAAATTTAGGAGTATCTGAAGAACTTCAGGAAGTGAGTTTGGCAGCTTGGGTACATGTGATGAAGTGTGAAGGGACTGTGTGTGTGCAAATTCAGTTTTGGACTGAATTACTACATGGTGGAGAGAGCTGGGAGGCTTGATCTAGTATTTCCAAGAGACCTGATCTCCGGATTGACCCCTCTCAAGGTCACTGATGCTATCATAGTGTTTTTGCCAAAAGGAAAGCAGCAGTAGTCATGCCCACATCCCACTCTTGTGATGCAGAGGAGGACACGTAAGCAGAGATCTAAAGCTTTATTTCTCACTATGGGAAACCCAACAGAGACGTGTAGAGAGTGATCACAAGCCATTGAGCAAGTGTCTGGTGTATGAGTGTTACATCAGTAGTACCTGATGCTACCTGGAAGCCTCACAAACCACCTCAAGAGTCAATTATTGCCACTACCTCATGGCACAGAGAGATGACACAACCTTGGTGTCTTCCAGCTGGGTGTTCACCTGCACTGACCTCTGGAAGGGGTGTGTGAATCGCTCCCCTCTCCTCCAGGACCTCCCTGCCAGCTCCCCAGTGTTTGTGCATCAGGTAGACTTGCTGAGCCCTGTGCTGCAAACAGAAGCATCTGAGTCATTTTACCTTGATGAAGTTGTCATCGCAGACAGAGCTGTGACTGGTAAAGGAATCCTCTTTTTTTATTATTATTCTGTTACTCTTTCCATCACACTCCATTAAAACCTTTAATGATGGGGCTGGTTTTGAAACCTTTTCAAAGGGAAAGGGTGTTTCACAACAGGGTCAAAAAAAATTGTGTTCTTGAACTTTTATGTGTGTGTGAAAACAATCAAGAAGAAATTGCCCAACATCAATATTCTTGTTTTACTTGAAAATGTCTTTCTACAAATAGAACTTTCCAGTGATCTTGCCCAGAAAAAAGCCCAAAGCATCAAACAAACCCAAAAAACAAAGCAACCCTCCAAAACCCCCAAACAGATCCTTTTCCAGTTATGAAATGACAATAACTTAGGCATAGTGGCTGCTGTTCCCCTTTCTCTGATGAATGCTTCTGCTGTTTTTCTTCCAGTTTTTCAGAGGGATCCCAAACCACCCTGGCTAGGTGGACAGATAGTTGAAAAAGTATCTGTGGTGGGGTCTTCTCCCACTTACAATGTGTCCTGGACGGTGTCTGGCTGTGGTGCAAGTCTGCCCCTTCTCTCCCTAAGGTAGGGACAGCGAGTAGATTATCTCAGTACCTTGTAATACCTCTGGCAGTGCCCTCTGACAGGTCAGGAGCTCGTTGTCATCTAAGACAGGATATGAGAATCAGTGTAGGCTAAGACTGGAGGTTGGTGCAGTCCCTGTGCTTTCATTGCTGTCTTCTCCAGGTATTCCAAGTGACCTGTGTTCAAATTTTAGACTACTGAATCCTGCAGAGATGTCTGTACTCAGTAGATGGGCTGCAGTTCTAATTAATTAACCTAATTAATTAACTCTCAGCACATCACTGTGCACATCAGCTTTGCTCACCATACAGGATCTTGAACATATATTGTGGACATCTTAGTGAAGGGATCTGACTCTGGTATTGAAGTTCCATTGTATAAGTGGGATTCAGCTGCCAAACCAGAGGTGCTCAAGATGTTTCAGCTAACCTGGATGTATAAAATACGCATGGGCCACCAAGGTATGATGCACAGCTAGAAGGAGGTCTAAGCCCTTCTGGAACACTGGATGGAGGTCAGCCAGAGATGCTCCCAAGCACCTTGAATGACACCAGTTACCATGTCAGGCAATGGAAGTCCACTCTGTGTCCTTGTTTACTGAGAAGGTTTCTATTCTGGAAGTCCCAACCACAAAAGAGGGGGCAGAGCCATAGGAATACCAGATCAGAGAGTGCAACATTAAGAGCTATATTGGCAGAGAAAAAATTCTGTAAAAGCTCATTCTGTTTAGTTTATCAAAAGGAGGATTAGAGGCAGGTTGATTGTGGTATCTGTCACCAAGGTGGAAAAAAAAAAGTGCTTGGCACTGGTGGGCTTCTCCATCTCACAGAGGAAGGTGTAAGAGGAACCAGGGTGTGATGTGACCTGGGAAGACTGAAGAATTCCTCCTTCAGGTTCCTCTGTACAACAGGTATGAGGGTCTGCATGAGGAAGGCCAGTCACTGGAGGATGGAGGACAGTCCATCTACACCAGAAGTGTCTCCAAGGTCAGAAAGGCCAAGCCCCCATATCAGGACCACCTCCATAAGGAAGAAAGGTCATCGTAGGCAAGTCCCTTCTGAAAGGAATAAAGGGTCCAATGTGCCAGGTAGACCCTCCACATAGGGGAATTGTGCTGCTTCCATGAGGCCTTGGTTAAGGACATCACTAGGAAACTTTCCAGATTGATACAGCCCTCAGACTATTACCTTTTACTGATATTCCCTGTAGCTGGAGATGAAGAAGCAACCCATAGTCCAGGAGTGATCAAAAGACACGTGGAGACCTTATTGTGCCTTTTCAGTACTCAAAGGAGGCCGGTAAAAAAGATGGGTATAATCTTTTTGGCAAAGCCTGTTGTGACAAGACAAAGGATGGTAGTTTTAAACTCGAGGATGGTAGATTTAGACTAGAGAGAAGGAAGAAATTGTTGACCCTGAGGGTGTTGAGCCCCTGTCCCAGGCTGCCCAGAGAGGTGGTCGCTGCCCCATCCCTGGCACCATCCCAGGGGAGGTTGGCCGGGGCTCTGAGCACCCTGCTCTAGCTGCAGATGTCCCTGCTCCCTGCAGGGGGTTGGACTCGATGACCTTTAAGGGTCTTTCCAACCCCAAAAGTTCTATGATTTTATAAAAACAGAAGTGAGCTCATGGTTTTAAAATAAGTGGATTGATCACTGTCTTTGGGTATCTTCAGACCTGGCTCTTTCTCTTTATGGAGCAACACGTTGTGTTGAGATACAGCTTGCTGCTCTCAGGACAGGGATAGTAGCTAAAATTTGAGGTACCAGCTGTGTATCAAACGAGAAGGTTCAGTGGTCCTTTTGGTTTTGTGTTCTTGAAATTTGTTCTGCAGAAGCCACGGCTGAGGTCTCAGATTTTAGGTGTTATCCAGACACTGAACCACATGGTGGCATCATTGTACCACAGAGTCTTTTTCCTTTGAAAAAAGAATTCAGTAGCAAGTGAGAAAATAAATTTTAAGTTCTAGAAATCGGGTTTTGTGTCAGCTTGAATACAAAATACTGCTGTAATTATTATAAATACTGCAGGACTTGCTTGTGCTTAGTGCTATATGAATAATTTCTGCTACCACAATTAAAAAAGGTGGTTTTCTATCCTTTTCTGTTGGGTACATTGCTTACATGAGGTAGATATAAGTTGGGAGTGTTCAATTGTTTGAGCTCTGAATGTGTTCTCCTTAGATTCCTCAAGAGTGTTATTCCCAAAGGTGTCCCTCTGCTGCTGGTGACATGGGGGTGTCACAAGTGGGGGTCCTAACTGCTAATGCTTTCATGTGCACCCTTCCTGTCACACAGGGGTGCTTTGCTTGGGGAAGGCTCTAAGGAGCGTGGCTACCTCGACGTCTCCACGGAGGATGTGAGAGTCAGCCTCACCATCCAGACACTGCAGAAGTCATCCCCACCTCTTGGAGGAACCTTTTCCATCCACTTGGCCAATAAAGTGATATCAAGTAAGAGAAGATTCGAGTACAGATGCTGGATTTCCTTTGAAAACCAAGGGAACCAAGTGAAGAAAAGCCAATATTGAACCTTGGGAATTCTTGAGGTATAGCTGGCAGGTTAAACCTATTGCAATGGATGCTACATCTTTGCACTTGATGTCCTTCAAGACAAGAGGTATGCCATGGGCACGGGGTCAGCGTGGCAGTAAAGAACCTCCCAGCTGGCTGTCCAGCTGCAGCTCTTGCCCAACTCCAGGTAAAACCAACCCCACCTCAGCCCAACCAGGACATTCCACCACTTATTCGATACCATCTCCACCACGCCCAGCAGCTATTTAACAGTTAACAACACACAGTTTAATTTCCTGGCTGTTCTCCCCCCAGAATTAAGTCCCCTTGGGGCACACATTGGACTTCCCCATCCTCCTGCATCCCCCACCGGGTGCACCCAGGTCCCTGAGCAGCAGCAACCCCATGGGTGGGTTTGCCTTTGCCAGAGGTAGGGTTCACCCAGAGCAGCTTCCCCAATATGTTCTCCAGGTGCACTACAGGGACTTTATCCCCTTCCACAGCACGTGGCAGTTGTGGTTGAGCAGGGCCAGTTCCATGGGCAGATCCTCTTGTATCTGTATGTTGCATCTCTCCCTTGGTGGCCTGAGGTGTCCCCCACTGAGCTAAAAATAATTCACCCTTATGCTGCCAGTCCAAGTCCACCTGAGCCACTGGCATCTTGGCAGCCTGATCCACACACTGGTTCTTTCAATGTTCTTCTGTGGCCTGATTCTTGGGTACGTGGCCACCCACATGATGTACCTTCATAGAAAGATTCTCTACCTGAGCAGCAATATCCTGTCACAACCCATCAGCCCAGATGGGTTTACCTCTGTCTCTTCCTCCTGTTCTCAAGATGTCTCTGGTTCATCGTCATCCCCCACTACATGGACTGTTTTCTTTGTGTTTTTCTTCTGGGTTGGGGCAACTGATACTGGTGCAAGTTGGTTCTGCAGGTCAGCTGCAGCATCTGCTGGACTTTTTTCATGGTTAGAGACCTCTTCCCTCTGAGGGCACTGAATGGTGTTGAGGAGCACTTGATAGGCATGGGCAAGGCACCAAGACATTGCTGGAATTTGCATTTCTCAGGGATTGCTGGGTTCACAACACACTTTTTGTAGTTGCTTTATCAGTTTATTTGGATTCATTACTTGTTTGGGGGTGAAATTCCAGAACATTGGGGATGACCACTGGCCTAGGCACTTCCCCATACTCTCCCCCACACCCTGTCACTCATAAATCCAGCCCTGGGACAGATCTCTGGGTGACGTTCTTGGAGAGGAATTGTATAACTCTAAACAAAACTTGACAAACATTCAAAACGTATAGCACCGAGAGCTGGATTCAGTACTTGTTTGGGGGTGAAATTCCAGAACATTGGGGATGACCACTGGCCTAGGCACTTCCCCATACTCTCCCCCACACCCTGTCACTCATAAATCCAGCCCTGGGACAGATCTCTGGGTGACGTTCTTGGAGAGGAATTGTATAACTCTAAACAAAACTTGACAAACATTCAAAACGTATAGCACCGAGAGCAAGCTGGCCTGGAAATCCCAAGAATAGCCAAAATTCTCAAAACCTGAGAGTCTCCTCCCCATCTCACCCACAGATTAGGTGAGATCACTGAAAAACAACAAGGCCACATAATGTTTGAATTCATAGCCAGTGACACAATCAGATAAGTTGCCATCACCCAGTGACACAGGACGAGACCCCTGACCCACTTCCCAGAGATGGCAAACCTCATCCCAGGGAACACAGGCAGGATAGAAGGATTAACACAGGACCACCATGCAAGCAAATTGGTGAACATTGTGGACAGGCATTATTTAATACCAAAAGAGGAAAATAAAATTTGTATAACAAGGTTATTTTAACATACTTTGTTCAGATTCTCTCATTATCTCAACCCTAAGTGTAGTAACTTTAGATTTTCCTACAATGGCTGAAGGAATTCAAAGAACTCTCTCAGTAGTGCCTTGCTTTGAACATCATCTTTTAAAATTATAGAGATGCTTATTGTATCTGCAGCTTTGAAGGGCTGTGGCTGTTTATATCTGAAGAAATAAACCATCAGTTCCATTTATTGGGGCTTGAACTCCACAAAGTCTTCTTGAGAGGATGACCCATACCCCTCTCATTAGGGAGTTTCTGGCCTTACCCCCCCCATGCCCCTCTCATTAGGGAGTTTCTGGCCTTTCCATTTTGAAGGAACATAACTTGAACTGCACTTTTTCAAGTTCAGTTTTTCAGAAAACTGAAATTTTCTCTTCCAAAAATGTAGGTTACACGTAATGAAAAGTATTACTTAGACAAAATTTCTGATGGTCCCAACTGGAGAGACATTTCTAGGTTATTCTAAGCTATTAAACAGTGCAGATCTTTTGACATTTGATACCCTGCTTTTAGGTAGGTGTAGACATTTGGACCACAGCAGCCTCATACTGCTAATGAAATATCTCTCTTTTCTAGAATCAGGTGGATGTGCTCTCCTAGGGATGAGAATATCCATGTTTTTCTCATGTCTTTTGCAGATGTTTCAGTGCACATTTCCTCCCACCATCTCCGCAAGCTTTTGCAAGACAACACAGATAACTCTACAGCTCCATACTTCAACACCAGTGACTTCATCGTGACCAAAGACTCAAACTCTTGCTATGAAAACATCTGGACGCTGACTTGGAAAACAAAAACTGGAGACTTGCCCAATGTTATCAATGTACAGTAATTCCTTTTCCTAGCACCCGTTTTGAACCCCAATTCAATGTCTTTTGGACTTGGCTGATTTGTTTTTATGCAGACACCCATAGGACCTTGAGCTAAGTGTCCTCCTGTCAGGAACAGCAGCTTAAGCAAATTCCAGATGAGATGATTAAAAAGGCATTGCAGTTACAGGAGGAAGAGTTACATCTTCAGAGTCTCTGCTTCAAAATGAGGAGGCTAGAATGTAATTTTTGTGCTTTGCAGTTCTGCAGAATGGGACTGCTATGCCAAAATGGAAGCTATTATAATCACATTAATATTTCAGTACAGTAACCGAAGCTCAGTAAAGGCTTGTGGCATCATTTATGGGCCTAGAAAGTATTTTTTTTTCTGAGAACTATTCTGTATGGGTTCACAACTGGTTCTCATAAATCTCAGATGAAGGTTCAGTTCACTGTCTCCTATCCCAAAATTTATTATTTTAAGTTTTGCTTTGAGTAAAAGCATTTTTTTTTGAGTAAGGACTCAGACTGAGATGCATACTTCCCCCAAAAGAAAACCCATTTTTTTGTATATTTAGCTTCTAAAAGTCTAAAACTATCTTTGATGAAGCAATGAGTTCTCATGCTCAACACATCACCTTGGATGGTGAAAAAAGCTTGAGCTGCATCTTCAGCTGTAGCACAGACTCTTGTTCCACACAGTCATGTCTTGGAGAAGCAGATGTTCAGAGCTCTTTCTAGGTCTAATTCCAAATGATATTCCTGATTTTTTTGTAAATCTGGCTTTTGAATCTCTCTGCCTCAGTTTTTCTCCTGAAAGTTGAGGCCAGGAACAGGGAGGGGTTGTGAAGTTTTAGGTAATGAAGGTTTAGACCTGGAGACAGGAGTCATGGAAGAACCTTGAGAACAGGAGTCATGGTAGAACCTTGAGAAAAGAATCATGGAAGAAGCTTGAGAGAAGAGGTTTCCAGGAGTTATTTGATGTCTTGTAAATATTCTACACAGGGAAAATTACTGGAAATTAAAATCACAGGACACAAATGGACAAGAAACTTAAATTCTTTGTTCTTTGCCAGGTCTCTGCTGAAAAGCTCACTGGTTTGAAGCCAAGTGTTTCTAGTCATGTGGTTTATGATGGAGGTGTGTTTATTGGGCCGATATTTGGGGACATGCTAGCTACCTTCAATAACAGAACACAGGTGAGATCTGCTAACACGCTTCCTATTGATTCACCTGGGTCGTGTAG